TTTGATAGGCCTTCACAATGCAGTCGTTAGCACCCACTAAATAGAGATTCTATTTCTATTTTGTTGGTAGATTTTCTTAATGTGCGGTAAACACAAAAGTAACAGCATGAAGTTGGTCGCTAAAGCGACTAACTTCATGCTGTTAATTTTTTGTGTTACAGTGATGCGCGCGCATCTTAAAATTTCACTCTCATCATTTTTTCATAACGCGCCTAAAGAAGTATAACTTCAAAAATTCATGGTAGTCTTTGGGCTACCATGCTTCTTCCACTTGATCCAGGATTTCGTTTTCCTTTTTTTCAACCTGATAAGTTTTGGGGAAAATTATACTGACCTAATGATCGATTCTTTGCCAATGGAAAGTTCGCGCCTACAATTTCATCGAGTTTGCTATAAAAAGTGTGTGTGAACAGATGAAATGACCGAACAGATTAAATTTCAACCCAATCTGTTTTGAGCAATATTTTTATTAATGTTCATATTCATTTTTGTGATAATTGTATCTGGTTCTGGGTTTACGTTTCATTATTTGGTAAGATTTTTTCTATAGCCAGGTAGGCAAATGACTCTACCCCACCTGATGTTAAGTGGTGATTAAGTCCAAACGTGAAGATAGCTGGTACAGCAGTTATAAACTGCTAAACCAACCATCCTCACCTTGCCGGCCTGCAAAAATGCTTCTTCACGGGGGCAAAGAATTCCACTTACGAATAGTACGACAAAGAAATGAGTCACCAACAGAGGCAGCTCTAGCCCTTGTGGCGCCAGTGTGCCACCAGTACCCTGGCGTCTCCTAGTAGGGGGAAGGGGGGCATGATGGGGTTGCTAAGGGAAATAACAAAATTACAGTCCAATCACTATGTTTATTACTCTCATTAATTTATGGCACGTTAAGTCATTAATCTAACTATGATTTGGTACAGTCTTTGGAGAATCAACGTATCACATATTTTTATAATTAATAATTAATAGGAACATTATGAAAAACCATCTTGCCCCATACTATGGGGCATGATGGGGAAGGCTATTCGTTTTCACAAAATAAGCAAATGTGTATTTCTTCCAGATCTTCATCGTCCACGCCAGCACAAGCGTTGTGATATGATAAGCTAGACGTCACAGTTCGGTAGTTGTTAGTCCAAAAAGACGCTCTTCCATATATTTCAGATATGCTTCTATTTCACCTTCTTCCTTAGATGTAAATATAGATTTTTTCGGGCCTAAGGGTAAACCAATAGTAACTTCACCTCCTTCCTTCATTTTCTTAACATATCGCTCTAAAGTAGTCTGAGGTACTGCGTACGCAGAAGCATTTTTTTGTATCCCATCTTTTTGCTGAAAACTTTATCTACAGCTATTTTCATAGAATCTATCGACCACTCCCCTCTTTTGGTTTTTTTCTTATAAGTACGTACCATGATTTTACCTAAAAAAGAATAAAGGAGATTGCTCAGCTTCCATACATGTTTGGCCTAAAGACCAATAATCATGAAAAATTGTTTCCTAGATTCGAAATTATATATAAATTACTGTAGAAACGAATATTATTGACGGACACCCCTGAGAACTTCTATAAACTATGTACACTGAACATATTAAAATAATAAAAAACAAATAAATTATATAGTAAACTAGGGAAATCAAGCCAAGTACCGAAATTATGGATTAGATTTAGGTATATAGAGCATGTAGATTAACAGATAGTTGCCTGTTTTTAAAGTTAATGCAAAAGAGTAACTTTTAAAATCGGGTGTCATTTCCGGTTATAATAAGATACTCTGTGACAGAAACTGTGTGATGATTGTGAATGAGCCACAGATTAGAGAGAATTTTTAAACTCTAGTTAACCAAAGAAAGCTAAGAGATTTAGGTTCTATAGCCGTATATTCAGTAGCTTCATTATTTTTGTTATGTTTTTAAGACAACCATATTTTAGATTTTTAGTGTATCACACCTTATAATTTTATTTATTTATTAATTTATAGTCAGGGAACGTAGGCCCATAGATAGATACCTTAAAGTCTAACATATATACAGATTATAATGTGTTTATGGAGGTGTTTGGCGAAAAATGTATGGCAATAGACTTTATGATGTCGCCTACCATCTATAATAATTGTCTGAGCACATTTGCATCTAGTGAAAATGATAATATTATAGTGGTGGATATTAATACCACAGTGTAATAAAAAAAAATGAATTATTTTATCGATCTTTACAAAATAGATTTGTTTTTATGTTATATAAACAACTTCGATCAGTCTTTGGCTGAATGTTACTACACCCATAGCCATTAAAAATGATTCGTTTGTTTTCCAACCCGGTAATATTAAAAGTCCTTTTTAAAGTAAATATATTATACAAAGGTGTCCGTTGAAATCTAATGACTGTAAATTAAATTATAAATTACGCCAAGAATTACCGTGTATGTCAATATTTTTTGTGCATTTAGGCCAATTTGAGCAATCTCGTTTATGTTATTTATTAAGAAACTTAAATGAACCTAAACTCACAACCCCATTTTGCCCCAATGCCCCACCACACCCTATACGCCATCTTGTCTCATAAGGCCTCTCTGAACAGAAAAAAAATATGAAATAAAATGTTTAACGAATTCTTACAATCAACATACCATATCAAAATATATAACACTAGTAACCAAAAATCAAATAGACATAAATGGGCTGATCATAATTACCTTAAAAAAAAATATTTTCAAAAAAAATTCGGGACCAAATTACAACAATAAAAAATCAAAATTTTGTAGTTCTTTTAATTTAAAACTATAATATCTTACAGGACGCTCGTACACACAAATTAATATACACACAACCAAATGTTTTTACAAAAAAATACTTTTCGTGCTTTTGCATTAGCGAAATCTTTTGCAATGTCACTGACTTCAATTTTGATTTCATGTTTAATACTTATTAACGATAAAATTGACAATCTATTTTGCGACAGTGTTGATCTAAGATAGTTTTTAATTATTTTTAGTTTAGAAAATGACCTTCCGCTGTGTGCTACCGTGACTGGAAGTGTGAGGTAAATCCTCAGTGCTGTGGACAGATTTGGGAATACTGAAATCAATTTATTCGTAAACAAATATTTTAAAATATCCAACGGCGTAGTGGAATCATCAATAAACATCGGTAATAACTCGAATTCATTAAAGAGCTCGAACTTTTCCACATCTGAAGAGCCAGCTTAGCAAAGTTTATTTTCTAAATTACAACAATGTGCTTTTTTTGTATCCGAATCGAAATCCTTCCAGTATGTCAATTTTTGAAGAAATGAAAAAACTACATTATTTTGATTGAGAAGTTCGAACCGTTTGTCGAACTTAGTAATTGCGGTGTCTAATAAATTGTACTAAAAATTTACTTTAAAATGTGTTTCCGCGTCTGTGACCGGTTCATCCTCCGCCTCATAATTAAAAACCTTTTTACGAGCTTGAGGGCGTGCTGGTGTGGGAAAGTCTGCTATTGCCTCGAATTCTTCCGCTACAGTTTTCGCGCTGTTAAGGAGCTTTTCAAAAGCGGAGTCATTAAGGAATTCAGACAAACTTATTTTTGCATTATCAATAATTTTCACCGCTTCTGACAATACAACGTCTGACTTTTGAAGTGCCTTGCTAACTATATTTATCTTGCTTAAAATTTCAAACCAAATGAGCAGAGAGCCGATGAATTGAAGCAACTTAATTTTTCCCAGTAATGAATTTGCCATATTTCTTGACTTCGCATCTTTGCTCCTATCGGAATATAACTCTGTTTGAGTTTGTGAAGTTAGACCTTGTAGATTTAGAATATTAATTATACCTTTTAGACCGCGCGAGTCATATTATGGTCTCGTCTTGACAACATTTTACATGAAAATATTTTTGTTTCGATATAATGTTCTCATTTCTCAAAGTAATAAACCAATTACACCAAGGTTTTTTTCCTTTTTAAATTCTTTTTTTTTTTAAATAAGACTAAATAAATAGATTGTAAAAAATAGTGTTGGAATTATTTGGTTCCTTTCCTCTTCGTTAACCTACTGACTGAAAGTTTAGTGAATATAAAGGTAGGACAGGCATAGGACCTAACCATGAATATGATTGTTAGGCTAGGGCGATCAGAACTGTAAATCAGGCACTGACGTAGCCATTAAATTAAATAAAACAATATGGTAAGTATTTTAACATTATTTATTAAAGATTGAGTTTATCTTATTCACCCATTACAATTTACCTACATCTGATCGTCATAATCAATAAATGTAGAGGAATTATATATCACTTTTATGGTGTCGAGTTACACCTTCTATTCATACCAACAAACATCAAATGTAGCCAAATTGTAATCTTATTTCTCTAGAATGGCAGTGTTTCTATCAACGTAATATTTATATTATTATCATCACTACCTAAAGCTCAAATTGAAGGCCGAGAGAATAAATATCGTTACATCCAGGGGCAGATTTACACTAAGGTCAACTGCGAGGGGCGCTTGCAACAGCTATGAGGAGCGCCTGCAAGAGCTATGAGGGGCGCCTGCAAGAGCTATGAGGGGCGCCTGCAAGAGCTATGACGGGCGGCAGGAGCCATACAAAGGCATTTGTTATTGAAATATAGTTTGATTTGCTTCACTAATTCTAGGGGGTGCAAATCGTTAATGGCCCGAGGCGCCAAATTTCAAATCACGCCCCGGTTACATTGGTCGGAAGAATACAGCATTGCATCACGATGAATATCTTAAAATAATAGTGTGTAAATTTAGCAAAAGCATTGTAACTTATTGGATTTCAATGTGACTAGTATGTGCGAAACTAAAACTTTTTATATAAATAAGATTTTCAATATACTTAATATATTTAGTAAGAACATTAGATATGTATTTCAATTTGGATGTATCAATAGATTATTTGAAATCACATTAAGACAAAAGAAATAGCATAATTTTTAAGAATACCTATTGTACACCTATTAAATAATTAAGCAGATCTAACATAAACTTGCTTTGGTGTGATTTTATTATGATAGAAAACATTTAACGTACAATTTTATATATTCGATCTTTTTTTTTATTTTTTAAAATAGTGTGGAAATGTAGGTGTGTTGTAATCTCGCCAGACTATATATTATACTGTACACAATATTTATAAAAAGTCTACCTAAATAACATTAATATTATGATTCTAGCTATGTGTTTTTGATGCAAACAGTACATCTTGATACCAGCTCCAGTAACCTTCCAGATTTAAGTGTAGATCTTTTCGGACTAGCGAATTGTTCACTATCCTCTATAGTAGTCAACCAAAAGCTGAGTTTATTGGCAAAGTGATGGCATGTCCCACCTTCGCCATTACATTCAATAAATGGCGTAGCACGGAAGTCTTCTAAACATGACCCTGGGCTAGCTAAAGCTTGCCCGCCTCCTTGACCACCCGCTCCAGTGTGCTAAAAAAAATACATTTAAAAAGTTATATCGAAAATATTCATGACTTATTTATATTATACCGATTCTGTATTTCTTTGTGATAGTTATGTTTGTGATTTGATGTACTTTGTGTGACTTTTTAAAAAATATCTAGGTAATTATTTTATTCCCTTTTAAAATAGTTGTATGCCTACACCCATAATACACCGATTAGTATCAAGAGCATAATTAATTTTGTTTAAGAAAAAGGTACATAGGTACTCAATTTGAAAGTCTAAAGAAAATATTTGTTAGAAAAAATTCGTCACGCATCCATCCGTCATCGCGTCAGGCTGGTTTCGAACCAGAGCCTTTCGATATCCGTATAGTAAGCGCTGTTGTTAAAGAATATTTTTAAGATTTAAGTATAAATCCTTTTAATAATTAAAGCAGAAATATATCGGTACCTATTAAATTAATAAATGTAAAAACCGTTTCGATTAATAGACGCATAAACACAATGCATTTTTGGGGACATATTGAATAAGAATAAATATTCATCATAATCAGCTTATAGATGTTGCTATCCACTGATGGGACATAGGCCTTTCCTGTGGATAGAATACGGCCATGCAACACCACGGGGGCACAATGAGGATGGTAGGGACTGCTAACGACTGCAGACAGGCTACAGCCAGGACTAATTAACGGACTAAAAAAATAATTTCAATAATGTTCTCTATCCAAATATAAGAATTTAAATCATATATTTTGTCGACTTCCTGGGTGCGAGTGGTATGTACGCCGGGTTTCAAAGTGTCGCCTACTCAGTGGTCCCGAGTACGAATCCCGGTGGAGTAAATATTAGTATGTTGAATACAAACATTTATATCTAAGTCATAGGTTTTTATATGCATTTCTAATATGTTTATATCAGGAGTATGTTGTATATAACTATACGGACGGACGTTATGTGTGTATACGGATGGTATGTATAACTAGACGGAGTATACACGACCAACTGGTAGTTGGCTCAGTTAGCATTTTTTAAAGTACGATGTAAGAACGGCTATCTGCAAAATCTCCTAAATTATCAAGAAATTAGCTAAACTAGATTAATATACAAATATATAAGAGTATAAATAGATTATGATAAAAGTTTCAGAACTATTGGTCCACTCATTAGAAAAATAACACACTTTTTCGATCTTTTCGCTCTCCTGTAAAGTTGCTATTTTGCAGATGTCTGTTTTTACTTTGCACCCGTCGATATAACACTAACTTTGTTACCGAAAAAAATTCTACCCGGGCCGGTGCACTATGGGAACCCGCCTAAGAAAGCCATCTCATAAATGCTTTTTTCGTAACTGTTATTCGAGGCATGTATTGTACATCAAATTATAGCTAAAGAGTTATAAGATTATAAAGATTATAATCAATATAATTTAAGTCTCTGACTCTTCGTATTTTATAAAGAAGAACATCTAAAGTCAGGGAATGAAAAAAATACAAGAATAATAATTAGATTTCAGTTAGTTTGGTATAATTTTATAGGATCATAACAAAAGAAGTCATGAAAGTGTGATACCATTTTAGAAAGCTTAGAATGTCTTCTTTTCTATAAAATTTAAACATATACAGTTTTTTTTATTTAATTCAATTAAAAAAAATCTACATCATAATGTGGACTATTTTTGTTTCTTAAACTTTCAGTTGGAGTTTTCACATTTGCCGAAGCTTGCCGAAGTTCTGTTTTTTGTGTTATTTCTTAGATAATATAATATTATTTGACGGCAACAAATTTTTTTCTGCTGTATCAGTGCATAACATTGTCAAATGTCTTATAATATCAGCGTGTGAAAACATATATTTTTAGGTACGTTTAATAAGACTTTCCTGATTTCGGGTTTCTCAGCACGGACATTTAAATAAAGGCTCTTGGCCCTTTTGTTATATTTTTATTCATGGTGAAAGTGTCATACGTCATTTTTCGGTATTGCCTCTTGGGTAACTTTTAGAAGATGCTCAAAAGTCACGGAACAAAAACTACAAACAGTTCAGGCTTCATAATGCAAGAAAATATTCGAGGACAGCCACCAACGAAGATATTCTACACACTATTGTATACCTCTGATCCGTAAATTACAAGTTTGAGAAAACCTTATACTAAATAATATTTAGAACTTTTTGATGAAGAAAAGAAGCTCTTAAGTGACATTTGAGCTACTTTGATGTTTGTTTTTAATTTTAAGCAGTTACATTCACTAGTTACCTTTATAAACTTATTAAAACATAGACGTAAGTCTAAAAAATCGTATATTTTTTGTTTTCCTATTTTTTTTAAGTATTATAAATAAACTTTTATACACAAATTATACATTATTTAAAAGCAAATATATTCATGATTATCAGAAAAAAAATATGATGATATCTTTATTAACACAGGAGTTATAGATTTTTGAGATGAAAATGAGTCAAAGTTCCCATAGTGCGGTGCCTGGCTAAGCTTGTTGACGAGTACGATTTATACGTTTGTACTGACCCGATAACTAACCTCATAGTGTCCCATACGTAACTGACGACCGGCATAGTACACGGTTTAAAACCGCGCTTAGACCCAAATAAAATAAAATAAAATAGCGCTTGTTAACAAGACTATTTCTACCCGTTTAGGCTAATTGGTGTCTGCAGAAAAAATACTCACCATTACAAAACTGTATCCAATCCAAAGTTCACTCCAACCTCCCGGACAAGAAGGAATATCCAATGTTTGACTATGTACAGCGATAACATTTGCAGGCACTTCACAAACGACACACCTTGAAATGTATCGGGCTATATCATTTCCTTCCACGGGCATCATGGGTATTGCTTCACCAGTTGATAACCAATAACTTCTATCATTTCGACTAGCGTAATTACACACGTCATTCAGATCGCAGAATAGGAATGGCATTGTACTGAATTTTCTTACACATGATCCTGCATAGCCCAAATCTTGGTTGTGTGCCTTCTCATTCCCATCAATATAAAGTAAAGAATATCCATCCCATAATTTTACATGACCTGGTTCGCATTGCGGTACAACGGCACTTTGGCTATGCCTTACTAAAAGAATTCCAGTCAAATAATCCTGGGCAATACAAGGTGCACCGGGTGCTCCGGGTAAACCTTGTCTACCCGTGAATCCAATTTCTCCTCTGTCACCTTGCAATCCTTGAAGGCCTTGAAGACCTGGAGGTCCAGAGGGACCCTGTGGACCAGGATAACCACGATCGCCCTTTTCTCCTGGAGCACCATCTAAACCTGGTGCCCCAGGAGCACCATCCAAACCAGCAAGACCATTTAACCCAGGAGGGCCGCGTGGGCCCGGTTCTCCTTTAGGTCCATAAACAATGGCCGCCGCTTCACCTTTGTCACCTTTATTTCCCTGTATTCCTGTAAATCCTATTCGTCCGGGATACCCTTGATCACCTTTTTCACCTGGTGCACCCATTGGGCCCGTCTGTCCATCAAGACCATTTAAACCACGATCACCCTTGTCACCCTTTTGACCTTGTATTCCTGTCAAACCCTGAGGTCCTTGATCTCCCTTTTCTCCCGGTAAGCCAAATCCAGTAGCGCCTTTGTCTCCTTTATCGCCTTTGGCACCAACAATACCAGGGGATCCGGGATAACCTGGAGAGCCATCGATGCCTGGAGGCCCAGCCAAACCTTCACGACCCTGATCACCTTTTTCTCCCATTGGACCAGGAAGACCCGGTATTCCTGGCCGGCCTGTTGATCCAGGAAGTCCAGGTAAACCTCTTTCACCTTTTTCACCAGATGCTCCTTTTAATCCTGGGCGACCATGCTTTCCTGGCATACCAGGCAAACCTTTTTCACCAACTATTGTTCTTCCGGGTATTCCAGTAGGACCAGCGGGACCCATATCACCTGAAATAATTAGATAATGTTATAAAATACAATTATATCCACCAATACAAACTCTTTATTCTAATAATTGTGCTATTCATTAAACAGGTCTACCAATTTAATATATTATCCCGGATATAACTTTAGAGTTAAATAATTTGGCCGTTTTACTTTAATAAAAAACAGCGTCATCGATACATACTCGTATAATAAAATGGTAGGAAAGTCAAACCGAACATTGAATATTTTTTTTAAAGAATACTTGGGGTGTGATCTACAATCGATACCGAAGCCAAAAATATAGTTTTTAGAATTTTTGTCTGTTTGTCTGTATGTATGTCCGGGATAAACTCAAAAAGTACTGCATGGATTTACTTCAAATTTGTTACGAATATTATTAAGAAGTCGGGTCAACATATAGGCTACATATTATCACGCTAACACCTACGGGGAACGAGTAGTGAACCTCTAACGACGCATATTTGAATGTTGTTGTTATGTTAACCATTCTATAACTATAACATCAACAAACTTAAAATTTGGCAGGTAGGTTCCTTATAGGGTGCAGATATCCGCTAAGAACCAATTTCACGAAACTCCATCCCTAAGGGGATACGGATATACGGGGGTTGGAAGTATGTATGAAAGTCCTATGTTTTTAAAGTAAGAGACTTGAAATTTAACATATATACTCTATAGATGGTGTAAAAGTGTATTAATAATGTATCTTTAGAAATAAAACCCCAAAAACTTTGTGCGAACTAACTTCACGCATTCTAAGTCGCGGGCGGCCGCTAGTAATTCTTATAATAAAAAATATCTTAAAGTTTAAACATCTAGCAGTAAATGATTAAAATAAAAACATAATATTATAGATAATTTTTTTCTTACCTTTTTCACCAGTAAATCCTGTGAGACCTCTTTCGCCTTTCACTCCAGTGTATCCTCGATCACCCTTTTCGCCTTGTAAGCCTTGCAGTCCAGGTAGACCTCTGTCTCCTTTATCACCCTTTTGTCCAGTTAATCCCTGAGGACCCAATTCTCCCTTTTCTCCTTTCACGTTTATTGATGGGCCAGGAGGACCTCGGTCTCCCTTAAGTCCAGGGTACCCAACTGGTCCTATTGGACCAGGTAGTCCATCAGAACCTCTTTCACCCTTAAAGCCATCGAAACCATTCTGTCCATCCGATCCCTTTTCACCTCGTTCACCTTTGACACCCTGGAATCCAGGTAATCCCGTATCACCTTGAGGTCCAGGTGCCCCATCTATACCTGGCATTCCAGGTGTTCCAGGTTCACCGGGCAATCCTCTATCTCCTTTCATACCTGGAGCTCCAGGAATTCCTGCGTTCCCTTTCAGACCCGGAGTTCCAGGTACTCCATCGCGACCTGGCCAACCACTGTCTCCCTTTGGTCCAATAACTCCAGGGATTCCATAACCAGGTGCTCCTGCATCTCCTTTGTCACCTATCTCTCCTCTTGGACCAGGCTCTCCATCTAATCCATTTAAACCTGGTATTCCAGCTTCTCCTTTTTGTCCTTTATCTGATGCTTGACCTGGTTCACCTTTGAAACCAGGAAGACCAGGTGGTCCTAGGTTTCCTTTTTCTCCAGGTGGTCCCATTCTGCCTTGCATACCGGGTGGTCCAGGATAGCCTTGATCTCCTTTTAAGCCTGTTATACCAATTGGACCTGGTGGTCCATCTAATCCTGGTTCCCCTGTTACTCCCTGCAAACCCATATCTCCTTTGTCACCTTTTTCGCCAGGAGTTCCAGGTATACCTGATGAGCCAGGTGTTCCTGGTCGACCACGTGTTCCTGGTAAACCTTTCTGTCCATCTCGTCCGGGTATACCTGGTTCTCCTTTAAATCCTGGCAAACCTATAACTCCTGGTTTTCCTTGCAAACCAGGATACCCTGGCTGACCCTTGGGTCCTTCTCTTCCTGGTATACCAGGTGTTCCAGATACGCCTGGAGGCCCTACGGGACCAGGTTCTCCTTTTAAACCTTGAGGTCCGGCAAATCCTGGTCGTCCCGTATATCCCCTGTCGCCTTTTTCTCCCGTTAATCCTATTGGTCCTGGTGGGCCATCGTTACCAGGTATTCCAGCTATGCCTCTGGGTCCCTGATCTCCTTTAAGACCGTCAAGACCTGGCGGTCCAATGGGTCCAGGCATGGATGGGCCTATTTCACCTTTGTCTCCTTTTGTTCCAGGTATGCCAGGGTATCCTTGAGAACCCTTTGCTCCTTGAGTCCCTGGGAACCCTATGGGTCCCATATCACCCTTATCTCCTCTTGGACCGGGAAGACCCCTAGCCCCAGCTGGACCGTTTCTTCCTGGCAATCCCAAATCTCCCTTTTCACCCGGTCGACCAGGAACTCCTTTATCGCCTTTGTCTCCAGAATCACCTAAAAATGAGAACATATAATAAAGAAATATCGACGAACAAGAAAACAAAATAAACTCACACACTACAGAACTGCTGCCTTGGAGATCGTAAGTCTAATAAAGTGAATTCCAATTTTTTTTGATAAATTTTACTACTAATAAAAGTCAGAATAATATGCTCTAATACTAAACTTCGCGTTTAAACTAGCGTTATGGCAATCAGAAACATCAACTTCATGGTTCCACAACTATCCAGGTTTATTTATTAATGATAGTGGAACGAATAGTTTATTCTGCAGGTTTACAAATTATGTTATAATATACCTGGTGGTCCTTGGGGTCCCGGTTCACCTCGTGCTCCAGGGTCACCTCTAGTTAGTTCTTTAAGATTTGCCGGGCATTGTCCTCGTTCACCTTTTTTCCCCACTCTACCTGGAGTACCTTTGTCACCTTTAAAACCTTTATCACCAGGTGTACCCTTTTCACCTTTTGTACTACCTCCCTTCATACCAGGAGTTCCTGGAAATCCGTCATTACCGGGAATCCCATCTATTCCAGATGGACCCATGTCGCCCTTGTCTCCTTTAGTTCCTGGCATACCAACTTGTCCTCGATCTCCTTTAGGACCATCAAATCCTCTTTCTCCTTTTGGCCCAGGTGGTCCTTGCAGCCCACGATCACCTTTAGCACCACGGTCACCCTTTATTAAGTCTGAAGGAACCAGTGCATTTTCGCCAGCTTCACCTGGTGGTCCGATCGGTCCATCATCACCTCTTTCACCCTACAATCAAATTCAAATCAATTCAAATAAAATCAAAATCAAAAAAATAAGAAAAGCGGAATGAATTTTCTGTAAATTCTTAAAAAAAATGTTAAATCTTACCGGTGCTCCAGCTCCTCCAGGCATTCCATTTAACCCATCAGCCCCCCTTTCCCCAGGAGAACCGACAGGTCCTGTTGGTCCTCTATCACCGGGAGCACCTAATGACCCATCTGACCCACGATCTCCTTTTGGACCTGGGCCGCCAGGATAACATTCATTGCAACGGCCTCCAATGTCTCCCTTTTGACCTGGGTTACCTGGTATGCCATCAAAACCTGGACTACCTTTATTGCCTTTCTCTCCTGGAGGACCCATTTCACCTGGACTTCCGGGGATACCCAAACTAGAATTACCTGGCACACCACGTATACCTATATAGCCCCTTTCTCCTTTTTGTCCTTTATCACCTGGGATTCCTGGTAAACCAGCATCACCCTTTTGACCCTATAAAATACATATATAAATTTATTTTAAGTGATATTGAAGATTCATGTGTAAATGAATCATTTCAGGATTTTATTTCAGTGGACTGGTAGAGGATTGAATGCAGTCTATAGAGATTTTAGCGATTTACATAACAATATACGAATTTAGAGTTACCAGATAAATTAAAAATCATTGTTATAAAAATAGTGAGCACATATAAATAGTAAACCTACTACTTGATTTATAACCGTTAAAAAATATCCATTAAACGGGGCACATTGTATAAAACATACCTATATAGAATTATTATTATTTAAAATTACGTAGACGCCAAAGTAGTTTATTTGCTAAAAGTTGTTACGCTTATAATTGCACAATATTATTGGAGTTAACTTAGAGATGACACATTTAAAATATATTTAGAGTAAATTACTTAAACTTGCTAGTAAATTTTCTTAGGTAACTCAATATTCACGGTGCTTATTTGTATAAAAAGCGATTAAGTCTCGCTTATCCATCACACAGGTAAAGCCTTTTTTAAAACAATATTTATTTTTATCTGCTAGGTATAAATATCTCAAGGTGTATTATATCAAAATTAGATGCCTATCTAAGAAACGCGGTGTAAATCGGCACTATTCCTTGGAGGCGATTTACAGATTTCGAGAATATGGCGTCTCTTCGACAGATCTCTTCGAGAAATCAGTATGGTTTAAAAAAATAAATAGTAAAGGATCCCGAGACTGTCAGACCTGAGTTATTTACTCATGTACAAAATGTGGATAATTGAGTACCAGTGTTTACAATATTATCTACAACATACGTAGTAATTATTCTTCAGACTGTAAGTAAAGTGCGTAAAATTTTTACAAGCCTGTGCCATCTGATACTTGCAAAATTGGCCTACAACATAAGTTAGCAAGTATGTATACGTTCATTATACACACTAATTCTATTCAATTATCCATATTTTATCCATGAGAAAATAAGTATGGTTTGGCGGTCTCGGGGTCTTACTCTATTATAAATTTGTCAATCGACTTCCAGTTCATTTGCACTTCGAGCGTTAACTTTTTACTTTTTTCACAGAATTTAGGCATGAATTATTTAATCTACTTTTTTCTAATTAAATATTTAATAACTTACAGGAATAGTCAATCCATCGTCACCCTTCAGTCCTCTAGGTCCTTGAGGACCGGGAGGGCCTTCATATCCCCTAGGGCCAATTCCACCTGGTGCTCCATTAAGTCCTTGTTCGCCTTTTTCGCCTTTGTGTCCAGCAGGTCCTTCGATACCGGGTGCTCCTGGTTCGCCTTGTCCACCTGGAGGACCCATAGGACCGGGTTGACCTTGTTCTCCAGATTTTCCATCAGTACCCTTTGGCCCAGCTGGACCGGGATACCCTCTTGGTCCTTGTGGCCCTGGAGGGCCGCGGGATCCTGTCAACCCTCCTGGTGGTCCAGGTATGCCCTTCAAGCCTCTAGGACCTGGTGATCCATCTCTTCCGGCTTCACCTTTACTGCCAGGTCTTCCAGATAATCCTGGCAAACCATCATAACCACGATCTCCTTTTTGTCCCATTGGCCCTGGTGCACCATACGTACCATCGCGACCCTGAAATATATTTCCACATTTTTGTCGAATTAGTTTATGGTGATTAGTAAAAGTAGATTATTATTTATACAAATTTTTTACCCGTTCGCCTGGATTTCCTCTTAAACCTTTTTCTCCCTTCATACCAATAAGTCCAGGTATACCAGGTTCACCCATAGGTCCTGTATCTCCTTTTTCTCCCATGTAACCAGGTTCTCCTTTCGCACCCTTTTCGCCCATGTCACCTGGGCTTCCTCTATATACTCCGGCTTTGTCATCATCTACCGGTAAAGTACCAGGTTGACATGAAGAACCTCTGTCACCTCGATCTCCTCTATCTCCTTTGTCTCCTTTTATTGCTAACCCTCGGGACCCCTTAGAGCCTTTGTCTCCTTTATCACCCGCAGGGCCCTTAAATTATATGAAATTAAATTTATGAATTATAATGTGTTATTATCTTATACGTTATTAACAAAACAAGGAATGAATAAAAAAATATTGACCAAGCCGCCGTTTGCTACAAAGGAAACATGGACTAATTTATTATTATTTTTTATTGAAAGGTTACCACGCTAAATAAACCATAAATTAAATAAGTAATAAATATAATGGTATAATACAAACATTTCCCCCTACGGGGTAGGCCACACATTGAAAGCGTGTGTAAAGTTGTACATACATCCACCACGGAGGTCGTCAAAATACGTAAAAAAATTTTTATGGCCACTTGTAATTATTTTGAAAACTTCGATTATTTAAAAGTAAAAATACCACTTCCATTTTCAAATTTTCCTCCGCATTTTTTCGAGAGCCAATTAAATTTTTCTTGACTCATTAAAAAATGGATCTGCATCGAGCACATTTTCGCGCTATGATTTTTGACGATTTTAAATGTGGCTTGAGTCATTTAATCGATTTCAAACTGTTTTTATGGATGAAGGACATTCAAAACCAACCGTCTACCACTGGTATAACGAGTTCAAACGTGGTTATTTTACTTTGGGGGATGAACAAAGGAGTAGTCGTTCTACGACGGCTGTCACCGAAGAAAGTGTGCTGGCAGTAAAAAAAGTAATTCAAGAAAACAGACGAATTACGTACTGAGAGATGCAGCATACTATGCAGATTAGTTCAGGAAGTGTTCACAAGATTTTGCATGAGCACCTTTGCTTAAGGAGGATAGTTTCCCGCTGGGTGCCGCACAACCTCACCGAAGCTCAGAAACGGGACCGTGTGGATTGGTGCAGTGATATGATACAAAAATTTGATGCATGGTCGTCACGGCGCGTTTACGATATTGTGACAGTTGACTGGATTTAAAATAAGATCTAGAAACAAAGCGTCAGTCGACAGTTTGGTTGTTTCAAAATGAACCAACGCCTGCGAAATTGAAGCGATCGAAAAGCGCAGGGAAAATTTTGATCGCTAGTTTCTTCACTTTGACGGGGTACCTAATTTCAATTCCATTTCGAGACCAAAGCAGCATCAACGCCGAATGGTATAGCACAAAATGCCTGCCAGAAGTTTTTTCTGCAATGAGCAACAAGCGACCTAACATCGGACTCCGCGGGGCCTCTTCTTCACCATGACAATGCACCCGCGCACTCTGCGATCAAAACGAAGGACTTCCTGGACTCCACACCAGAGTTTTGGGACACCCTCCTTACTGTCCTGATTTGGCTCTGTGTGACTTCTTTTTATTCCCTAAAATAAAAAATCTGCTCAAAGGGATACAGTTTTTATCGCCGGAGGAAGCGCTAGCAGCGTTTGAGAAGGTCGTAGAAGAGGTGTCTGCGGAGGACTGGAAAAAATGTTTTGAAAGTAGGTTTAGACGCATGAAACTTTGTATAGAGGCTGGTGGAGAGCTCTTTGAAAGGATTTAATAAAATTATTTTTTTCGTAAAGTTAGTTTTTCAGTTTCTCAAAACTTTCTGAGTATCCCACGTATTTTAACTTTAACCTACCCAAGTATCCCATAACATAAGTCTAAACTTAGTCTAAAGTGCTGACTTTGGGGCTAGGATAATTAGTGAGAGTGTTAGAAATATTTATATATATATATTAATATGTTAAGTATGATGTACGTAATATAATAATGTTTTATAAAAGATTTAACTAAATACCATGGGTCCGGTATTTCCTCTCGGTCCTGCTAGCCCTGGGGGTCCTTGTGGACCAACTGGACCCGGTCTACCTTGCATTCCATCAGCTCCAGGCTCTCCTTTTTGACCTTTGGGATAACGACCTGTATATCCTGGTTCTCCCTTGTCACCTTTGTCACCTCTTAGCCCCGTGAAACCACGAGGTCCTTGAACTCCCTTAGCACCAATTGGTCCAGGTTCTCCCTTAAAAAACAAATATTATTAAGAAAAAGTACAATTGTGTTCTAAGTCAATAGCAACATATCCTTCTCTTTATACTTACGTCTGTTCCATTGCACCCATCTTTACCAGGTATTCCAGGCATTCCAGATTCACCTTGTGGACCTTGTATTCCCATTGGTCCAATAAAACCTTGTGCACCTGGCTTTCCTCTGTCTCCTTTGGGACCACGAGGGCCTTGTGGCCCCATTTGTCCCTTTTCACCTTTTGGACCTTGCGGCCCTTCTATGCCCTCATGACCGGGAAGGCCTCTCAAACCTTGAGGCCCAGGTGCTCCAGGAATTCCCTGATAAAACGAAACATTACTATGGAATCAAACAACAGATCTATTTTGAAATTTAGCTTTTTGTATATTTAAGGGTGGTTTTTAATTAATCACTTACTCGGTTGCCTTTTTCTGCAAAACATTTTGGTACACAGCATCCGGGTGCTGTACAGTTGCGATTGAATGCTGTGGTACGTTGCCTTGTCACAGGATCATAGACAGCAAAGTTGAGGCCAGGACCTGGCGGCGATCGAGGAGACGGCACGTCAGGCCGCGCTGACAGACCGTAAGTTTCATATGATCTCGCAGTTTCAGTTGGTTGGGATGGTTGAGGTGGCCATCGACTGTCGACATTGTTCCATTCAATATATTCATCATTTTGCTGAAATAAGAACGATGTATTGATTTCTTAGAATCAATTCAATTTTCTCAGTTTAAAAAAAGTAAAAGTATTTTTGTGGGTATTTGAAGTCAGTTTTTTCCCGTACTTATCATTAAAGCTTAGCTTAAACAATTGATTTTAAATACTATTGTTTTTAATTGTGTTTTTAGTATTAAGTAAGCATTAACGTTTTACAATCAAATATCAAACCTATGAATTCTTTAGATTTATATATTTTAATCTCTATCTATGTAAAATAATATTAACAATATTTAAAAAAAAGTCCTAGGTTCCTACACTATATTATAATGATTAACCCTTTGAATGGAATTCTTTATTTGTTTATCTGTAGTTAATTCATATATATATTTTTTTTATTGAATGCTACTTAAAAGGAGTTAAGTAAAAAAAATAAAACGACACTGAAATTAATTAAAACATTTCAAAATCAACAGAAAAATATTGACATATATTAGTGATAAGCATGGCAAAGAATAGCACATTTTTGAAGTATTGTTGTATTTTAGGTGAATTTCTTCTAAATTACTATTTTCATCTATACAGTAGTTATATTTTACTAATTAATTCGATAAAATGAAACCTAGTAGCTTCAATGTTAGGATGAATATTTAGTCGTGTATGCACTTTAAAAATAAATAATTAAATTAATATAAAGTAAAAATTTACGTGTAAAGTTGGTGTGTGGATTACTTGTTTTTGAGTAATTATGGTATTATTTTGTATAACTACTCTGGCCATAAATACTGTTACATAAAAACTTTTCTTTTTTTTTCAACAATTTAATTAACTTGAATTTGGAACACGTACATAATTTTAAAAACTTCTTTGGATTTTGCGCTATTTCACATATTTTTTCGTGTTCATTATCCAATCACAATATAGAATGGGGTGTAGAAAATAGGATTGCAGTGATGGCCTTGCATCAAGTGAGTATGGAGCCGTAGGTCATATTCCAGACACTTCAAAAGCTTGGTATCAGCCGTATGTTTGTATATCGTACTATCAACAGATACAACAACACTTCGTCTGTCGAAAATCAGAAAATATCGAGGTGGCCGCGTGTTGTTAGTACTACAAAGGCTCTTAACGCTGTTAAAGTCAGACGTCGTTGAAACCCCATTAGGAAGCAAAAAATCTTATCGCGAGAAATGTAGATTCCCGCTAGGACTCTGCCGCGTATTATAAATGAAGACCTGAAGCTCGGTGCTTATCGTCGATATACAGGACATGCCCTAAATCAATCTTTACAATTAAAGAGAGTGGATCGATCAAAACGCCTACTGTCGCGGTACGCAGGTGAAAAGCAAAGAAATATCCTCTTTACCTATGAAAAAAATTTGTAAGCAAAGTGATAAAGTGTACGCTCACAGTTCTATAGAAGCTGCTCAAGTGGTCGGAAAGGTACAACGTGGTCATCATCCTGCGTCAATGATGGTTTGGTGGGGCGTGTTAAAGAGTCACAAAACTACATTTTTGTGAAAAAGGAATACTTCAGCCAAAGTGTATCAAGATACAGTCTTGGATCATGCAGTGAAACCTTTCAGCAATACACTTTTTAAAAATATACCGTGGACTTTCCAGCAGGATTCTGCACCTGGTCACAAGGCACGAACTACCCAAGCCTGACTTGTAACCAAAGTTCCTGATTTTATAAGAGCTGAAGACTGGCCTTCATCTAGCCCAGACCTCAACCCTTTAGACTTCAAATTATGGTCAGTTTTAGAGGACGTGCCATGCTCCAAATGTCACGGCAACATTGAGTCTCTTAAAAAAACTTTGGAGCAGGCAGCTGCGAAATTTCCCATGGAAACAGTGCGTAGATCCATAGTTTCGTGGCCAAACATCTTAAAGGACTGTATAAAAGCCAAAGATGGCCATTTCGAATAGATTTTTTTTTGCTGAGACTGATAAATATGTATTTATACATTTTAATAATATTATATTACTTCGTTTCAAAAAAATGGTTTTTCATTCGTAACAGAACTTATGGCTGGAATATATATGTATATATATATAACATGGGTCATGTTTATAGTTACTTATGGCTGGATATATATATATATATATATATCCAGCCATAAGTAACTATAAACATGGCCCATGTTATACTTTAACATATATATATATTGGCTAACTGTAAGGCCCTAATGAAGTTTATTTTTGGTTTTATAGTGCAGTAAATAAAAGCGTGTTTTTAGTTTTTTTAAACAATTAATTTATTTATATATATTTCTTCAGACTTCTGTTCGAAACTTTTTATAATCTTGTTTTGATTTGTTTAATTTATGTTTTTATTCATTTAATTTTTGTCTTTATATTTGGTTTTTAGGTTTTGTCCTGTTCTCTCACAACTTTTACTGTAAACGATAAAATAAATGAATAATTAAATTTAAGCTGTTTTATATTTTCTTCAATTGATGTTGTTTAAGGATGATGATCTGTTGCATTTCTTAGCGTCTTTAAAGCTGATTTGGAATCTTCGAGTATTGGGATGTCTTTTTCTTGTTTGTTGCTTTTATTGCGTATTTCTTGCATAGTATTTCCCGTCCTTCGCTCCATATGGATAAAGCTGCTCTGACGTTGTTGTCAATTTGGCTCCCGTCAGTCTGATCTAAGGCAAGGGCGGATCCAGGGGTGCGGTCATGGGGGTCATGACCCCCCCCCCCCCTGGGCTGGGTACAGATGGACCAAACCCAGGGGGATTTTATTTAAGTACTTTCAATATTTAATATACCACGACTATATGACCCCCCTGGCGCCAAAGCTGGCTATATGACCCCCCCCCCCCCTGGCGTCAAAGCTGGATCCGCCCTTGATCTAAGGCCAAACACGAATTTTGACAGCTCCGTAATCGTATCATCATTGTCAAATTTCGTATAGGAGGAGCCAAGGAGCCAGTTTGTTTTTATGTCCGGTACGGGGCGCTTCTTAGTTTTCATAGACCCTTTGACGATGCTACGAACTACGGAATTGTCAAAATTGGGCCTACGATTTACGAATTTTAGTTGTTATTTGCATTTATTCTATATTTTTTATTTATTAATATTTATTCTATATTTAATTTAGTTTCCATAGAAGAAGCTCCGCTTAGTTTGTTGTGATATATCCGGAAATTATTATAATGATCTATGTTTCTCTTACTAGAAATAATCAGGAACGACTCTTTGATTATGACATTTTCTAAAATATTTGCTTACCTCATAAGTGATTTGAAATGTAACAGTAGCCGACTTTATCAAGTCAACGAAACTTGACCCCTGGTTTGCTACATATAAAATCGTTAAACGTAAGTACATTGTTTGCTGATAAATAGTGAATAGTCTTTTTTCAATCAACATACAGTCAAGGCTATTATATTGAATACATATTTTGTAAAATGACTAAAACCCCTTTTGCCATGTAATAAAGGCGCCTTCAATGTCTATTTATATTTACTGAAAAACGGTGACTTTGACTGAAGACATGATTAATTAGACAATTAAATAAAAAACGTATACCAAATCTTTCATACATGTTTGCTTATTATGTTGTGATGACACATGTTACAATACAAATAATGGGTTAAACTATATTTAGGTCAATAACAGCCACAGCGACATCTTTAGTATTTCGTCAAATTGACGTGTTGTTTTAAATTTATTATCATTATCATGTCAACTCGTTTCCCATTCCCACTTTGCATCGTACATTATTTTGATTTATTTCTCATTATACATTATTAATACATTATATGAGCAATTTTAAGTATAGGTACATTGCGAATATCAATGTAAGAAAAACCGGCCAAGTGCGAGTCGAAATCGCGCACCGAGGGTTCCGTACAAACCTGAATTTTCAAATTTTTTTTTGGTTCGTTGTTATAAATTTTTACTAGTTTTTATGTCCGGTACGAAAGAATGATTACATTGTATCCTGATTTTTAAATTATGTTACATTAATTTGTTAATTAATGTTATATCATTTTTCATATTCATTCAACATTATTTTAGCTCTGGTTCTTACGGTTCCTACACATACCCCAAAAGCCAGAAGGGGAACTCTTATAGAATCATTTGTTTTACGTCCAACCTTAGTCTTTGCAGACAGGTTTTTTTCAGGAAAGTGTGGAGTTATCAATCTAAAATTAATATCAAAAACTGTGGTCGGCAATCAAAACCTATAGCTTCTGTATTGATAGGTACATATAGGTTGATTGTAAGGCACAAATAAATGAATAACAAAAATCCGATACAGTCTATGTCTGTAGGAATATTGGCTTATTCTTCCTAAACGATGCGATGGATTTAAATACTCACCAATAAGTTTATATGTATAATAAACAAGTACATAGTATATAGTAGTAGTTCATCTACACTCGACCGCAAATAAAATGGGCCTCCCGCTAGTATCTTGGAACTCTTATTCGATTTTCTCAAAAAGTATACAACTATCAAAGCTATATAGCTTTGATAGATTTGTAGATATCTACAAATAGTGCGTTTCACAATGATTGATATGAGTAAAATTTTATTCTAAAGTAATATCAACTTACTTTGGAACTAGCAAGAAAAAGTTAAGAATTTGGTAATTTTTGAATAAAGTTTCGATTATCGTTAATATTTTACAAAAATCAGATAGTCTAATCCATCTTATTTTTACCATATCATTTAGTTTTTGTCCATATTTTTCTCAGACGTGTCTATTTTTGCTATGGTTTTTCTTTGGAAAATTTAATAAAAAACTGAATCAATAGATTAATCTCACTAACTTCCTATTGAATTAAATGCACTTTCTGTAGATATAACTTGGGTTTTAAGTTAGTTATTTTGTAAATTTAGATTCAGCGTTTCGTGGTAGCAAGTAGCTCGCCTTATTTGCTATCCAGGAATGCTATTCCGTAAGAAAAAAAACACTTTTCACGGCGTAATTCACCTGTGTGATTTGAAATTTATATGAACTTCGTGTTCTAATTTAAAATCCCACTGCGGATTTCGAGGTGAAAGATCAGTTTGTCCTTACAGAATAGCACCACAGTGTATATTGATTCAAAACGATGTCGAAGTAATACACAAGTGAGTACAAAGATTATTAATAAACCTGGAAAATGAAATCTAATTGATCTGGAGAAATGCGATCAACATGGCAAATTACTCCTAATACTATACAGAAAATACAAAATTAAGGGATAAAATTTAATAAAAAATTAACTTTGATCTTTTTTTGAAACAATATATTTCATATTTAAAATAATTGTTATTATAATGTATATGTATAATATTTTATTTTATTGCCAAGGTAAGCTACTGTTAGAGTTTTAAATTTAGAGAAATAACAAAAAAATATGCATCAAGTGCACTCACTATTAACTTAAACTGCGAGGAAGTGATGGTGCATTTTTAAAATTATTCATCAGAGTATCATGATAAAAATCAACAACTTATTTATTAAAATAAAACACCTGATGAAAATGGACTAGAACTTGATCAGAAAAACAGCCGAAGATCTTTAATTATAAAAAAGAGAGTTGTTAAGCCTCAACACAAAAGATGATAAAAGTATTTATTCGTACTAAAACATATTTATTTATTATTATAGTATTATTAGATTAAATAATCAATTTGACTATTGATTAAGGTGTTTGGCATATTCCCAAATACATATTATCGAATAATGTTGTTTTTTAATGGCATTGTTCTTTCATAATCTCCTTTTACAAATAATTTTATTAAAAATTCACTATTATTTAGTTATACACCATAATTAATTAAAAATATGACATATATAGGTCGCATTCATATAAAATTTAATTCTAAGATTATAACCATCAAACATACAACTTAGTAGAAAAAACATATTTCAATTACAACACTATATAATATTGAATTTATGGATTTCTGCTTTGCGCAATTAATAACACATTACATCCGAACGATGATAAACTTTGTCGGTTGTTCCTACAGTTGCGTAATTGTATGTACTTTGTATAAGTATGTAGTTATATTAAGATATCCTGTTAAAATGACATTGAGACAATGTATTTAATTAAGTAATAAAAAATATTTAGACATCGATTTTAAAACAGAGCTTACGTGAGACTCTATTTATTTCGTTATAGAAAGTATGCTGAATGGCCAATGTTTAGATACTGTCATGTTTTAAAGAAATTGCAAAAAGACAAATACAAGCGGACAGGCCAGTCGCCGACGGACTCGCCAGGGGCTCCCGCCACACGACGCGCCATTCCCCAAATTCACAAAAGTTTTTGTCTTATGCATTTTTAATAACTTCATCATAAAAAGATTAAAAACATATTTAATCGAATATAAAATATTGTTCTACTCACCGAGTTAACTCCTAACGGCACCAGCGCTACTACCAACCTAAAGGTAGATATTTCAAAAAGTTACATAACATTTTGGAAAAAAACAATATAGAAGATAATCTTCCTCTATTAATAACAAAGAAAAAAAAACAAAACTTGAAAAATAAAACACGTCAGATGTCTTACCACAGTACGGAGACCGCCATGGCCCCGAGCGCGCTGCGCCTGAATCCCGTGCGCGCGCGCCGTTTGTGCCGGGATACTAAAGGAAGGAGGAGAGTTCGGGCAGTGGCCAGGCCACCCCCGCCCCGCGAAGCGCGCCTGCTCCTGTCCCGTGGCCGGTGGCGAGGGCGCGCGCCAGTAGTACGGCGCAGCCATGTCGGGCCCGGCGCGCGCGCGTCTCTTCGCGCTCCACCTAGCGCCCGTCGCGTTCTTCCTACTCCTATGGTATCCTGAACCTCTCACAGCTGTAAGTACAATATATATTCAAATGTCATTCCCATATAGATGAAAATCACCTTAACACTGATTTTCCCCTTGAAAAGACTTCAACGCACGCTCTACCTTTACTAGACGTCTAACCTAAAGGTAACCTTCAGACATGTTTTTCACGGAGTAAAACAAAAAATAAACAAGTAATTTTTTAAGACTACTGCCTAATGATCCTTGATCGGACACTATAACAAGAATAAATAAATCAAGGCATTATCTTTGTTTCCTTTAGTTAGATAGACGTAAAAGCTTTTTCGTTTAAACGGTTTTTCAGCAATGTTGACGGAAGTTGCTATGAAAAGTTATGCTATTACAGTACCATATTGGATTTTTCTGAAATAGTTTTAAGGATATATGAAAAAACACATTAAGTACATGTAACTATGGCTTTGACTCACGGTGCCGATGATTTTCTGACTGCTTATACTATTTCTTTGTGCTCCCAAAAACTATTTTTAATAATACAAAGTGAAATGATATACCTTATTTATAAAATGCACGTCATCAAAATTACTCTACGTAATGTAGTTAGAGGTCTACACATTCTGTAGTGCTATAAAGTGCGATTGCAATGGTAACACTGACTGCAATGTACGAATAACTGTCAAATTATTATAGATTCAAGTCGCCGATTAATTTCTGCTTATTTGTTATTGATTCGAGTTAATCTCATTTTACACTTTAAACAAAATAATAAAAAAAGAGCATTATCTCTTGATCTTAACATAGATATCCCATCTGATGCTTATACCGTGTGGATTATTTTCTAGTAAAATTTTCGTTAGATTTATAAATCTAGCGGTAAATGCTTAAAAAAAATAAATCATAATAGATAAACCTTCATATAATTTTGTAATTCCGGTATGTCGTTTGTACTTCTATTATATGTCAACGTTGTTTGTTTGTCATAAAAGATTGTTTGGTTTGTAGCTCAATCTCGCAGAAACGGCTAAACAGATTTTGATGAAATTTGACTTACATCTGGTTTTTTTTCAGGAAAATTTTAGGTTTTTTTGGGATTCTCAAAAAACGCGTTTCTAAAGTTAACGCATATGAAGTCGCGGGTGGAAGCGAGTTTGTGATAATGATTATATCGATGTTTAAATATTTATAAATGTGAAAAGAGAGAATAAGTATGAGTAATGTATGCAACTTTGGACTCTACAGTCTGCCTAGACATGCTTAAAGAGATTCAAGCTAAGCATTTAGGTCAAACAAAATAAGTAGATACTATTATTTTGTTTAGTTATAAGAACGTTGCGAACTTTGGTAAAAATCTAATCAGTCCAAATAATTTACAAATAATGAATGGAATAATGTTCAGCAGAGCTAAAATGGTTACATCTTCGAATTTATTTTCCGAATTTAATAATCTTTGAGTGACTATTTGACAGTCTGAAAAATAAAGTACCAATTGTTAGAATCTGTATTGAATATTAATATTAATAGCGATTTTACTATTCTTAGAGGACAAATAATTAATAACTTTTCTAAAAATCATTAAATAGATGATTTTTGTTTTATGGCCACGTGACCGAAAATAATTGGGATTAGAGACTTAAAATGACGTCATACACTCTTAAACTACCGGTCAAAACGACATTACGTAGTATCGTTTGACATTTTAATGACACTCGAGTGACATCACATACCAGTGAGAAGCCATAATTTTCAGAGAATTATTTTTGCGGCAACTTGAAAAAAAATGTGTGCGTGTACTTATGTAGGCGCGTGAGAAGTTATCCTTCTTTGGCATCGTTTAAAATTAGTTTTTAATTGCATGCAAATAATTAATTACAATAAATTAATAAAAAGTCTGGAAAAGGACACAGTCAATAAAGTTCAGTTTTAATTTGAAAAAATAAATAAATAATCAAAATATTCAAATAAAACTCTCTACTGAATATAATTTATTAGAACATATGTGATTTGCACTTGTATGAAACTCAAACACGTATTCCGAATATACAAACTAGAAACATGTGGATAAATATTATAAACTAGCGGCCCGCCCTCGCTTCGCTTCGGTGTAGAGCTGAAGTGTAGACTACAGTTTTTATTCTCAGGCTTGTATTATACACAATGACATTCATCTATGATTCTTCTTATACCTGCATGCAAAGTCTCAGCCCGATCGGTTTAAAATTGATAAAGTTTCATTACAAACTTTCATTCCTTATTTTATCCCCTTGGGATTTTCTTTATATTTTTTTCCGTAAGAACCTTGTACAGAGTTTTTGAAAACTACAAAAAAAAACAGCCAAATCGGTCAAGCCGTTTTCATGTTATGTCGTGACAACGGAAAACGGGTTTCATTTATATATATATAGATATGAAAACAGTCTCTGTTCTAAATTCAAAACTCGTAACTTTTCCCGATGTTTGTTGCACGTGTTTCCCGCGCTAGGACCGCGAGTGGCCGCGCATGCGTACGGTGCGGCGGGCGACGCGGTAATGGCAGCGCAGCACATGAAGTTGGTCGCTAAAGCGACCAACTTCATGGTGTTAATTTTTTGTGTTACATGATGCGCGCGCATCTTAAAATTTCACTCTCAACAATTTTTCAGAACGCGCCTAAAGAAGTATAACTTCAAAAATTTTGATTTAGTTTTTTTACTGTAATACATGGAAAAGCTCGTGCTACTACGTTTTTCGCGTCAGAGCCACCATACACGTGGGCAGGTTGAATCTATCGGCTGCAAGTTGCGACTGCATAGGGAACTAGTCTTCTATGTACACATACATGGACCACTCGAGCAGTTGCAACAACTGCTGCTACTTTTACTGTTTTATCGGCTATGTGTTGCCCCCAATTTCGTCCGTATTTACTTCACAATGCGGTCAAGAGGAAAAAAACCGAACAAGTGCGAGTTAGACTCGCCCACCGAGGGGAGAGATGGGTTCAGTGCAAATTTGTAGATGCTATATGTCAAGTTGATTCCTAACCCACCACAAGCTTATTTTCATAGATCGATTTCAAAACAATATGGTTGATTTCTGCTTAAATTATCCCTGAAAACAAACTTATTATTTTCTCAAGAATTATTTGACGTGACAGTTTTGCCGCCTTCCTGTGTAATAATTTTGACACTAAATTATTTGGAGTTTTGCCCATAGATTTTCCTAGTAGTTTACCTACCTACGTATTTTTAATTTGCCTAGAAATCGAAAGAGTTTCCGTAACATTTTCGATTTTAAAAGTGTAATCTACTTCCTCCATTTTATAAAAAGTTCAGGAACAGAGTTCTGAAATTTTCTCCGATTACTTTCTGTTAAATAAAGTCTATATTTTTTGTGATTTCATTGCAAATGTAGAGTTTAGTTTTTTTCCATGTACTTACTTGTAGTACCTAATAAGACAAAACCTAAATCACATATTTTTTCTTATAAAAATATTTTGTTTAATTTTGGGAGGTTATATCTACATCTTGTCATTCATGAAAAAAAAATTTTTAGAGAGGATAATAAATTTCTATAATTTTCAGTACTTCTACTTATTATAAGTGTCTCAAACATTTTTATGCAAATATACGCTATGTATAGAGGAATCCTACAATTTTATCGGCAGAGCATCGGCATAGTCCAAGTTTGGATAAAACATTGGTGACTCCCCAATTTATAGCGACGTCCTTTGCTTGAATACGAAGCATGATACCGTCTAATACAACCAAGAAAAGGAGAGGCGGCCTGCTCGTTGCGTAGAAGTAGCTCAATAGCCCCCGATAGCCTATCTATATCTAAGATGATCTTGCATTAAACCTTAGAAGGGATCAAGAGCAAAGTGATACCCAGAGGGTGCCACTGTGGCTCAAGTCGCTCTTGTTAAGCCTCGATGACTCGGGACGAGTTTACAAGCTACATATAAGCCAACGAGTTCGCTAGCAGCTTGTAAACTCATTAGCTTTTTACAAGTTTTTATTTACAAGCTGCTAGAGAACTCGCGGATATTATTGCTACGATTTTCGGAGAAATAAGAGAATATGCAATTATATGCTCCATTACATAGTATTTTAGCCTTGATTGATTCTAAGAAGCGAAAAAAATTATACGCCTCCAAATCCTACAAAAAATGTTATGTTGATATTAGCCAGTAAGATAGTATGTCTAGTTTTGGTTCCTTTTACGTTCAATTTAAACTGGCACTGTCTAAGTGCGTACTAAGTGAGTAGATTAGGTTTGTGAACCCTTTCCACGCAAGGTGAACTCGTAATTGACCTGTTTTTTACATAGCGTCAATAGGATAGATAACCAAAATCGGTTTAAAACTGCCAGAAATCTCTGGAACATGATGGTGAGATCTACAAACGTCGCAAATTTTTCGAAAGCCTCTCTAACTCCGCTTCAGCGGAGGCCTGTAAATTATTAAGTGTTGGCCTCGGAAAGTCTCAGGCCTCTGATGGTCTTTCTTCTTGTTATTTTCTTTGTTTTTAAACTCTCATTTCTCTTCAATTTCTCCTATAGACTAACACCAAATCCATCACCATTTCTGAATTAAAATCCATTCCGTCTCGTAATTTCGAGCCCTACTTATTCTCCTTAGTGTCTACCGAGCATATTAAAGAAATTTTCCGTTCCTTAAGTTCCGACATAGTCGGCTACGACGGCATCAGTCGCACCAAACTATTCAGGACTACATCCATTCCAGTTCTTACACACATCATTATTTTTTCCTTTGAGAATGTTTCGTTCCCTTCCTTATGGAGAAAAGACTTTATAATTCCTCCTCAAAAAACTAATAACATTTCAATCGTGGCGTTTCTCTCTAAAGTCATGGAAGCATTGGCACAGAGACAATTTCCGAAATGTATACTAGATAATTCATTACTCTCACAATATCAATCTTGTTTACTCCGTGGACACAGTTCGTCTACTGCCCTTTTATAAGTCATTGAGTAAATATTGCGTTTCAAAGTCTGCTAAATGAGTGTATGCCAAATGATTTTCGGCGAAATGAAGTTAATTCCTTCCGCTGATATGCATAATAAAATAAAATTATGACATTAAGAGTTCTACGTTACAAAGTCCTCCATCAGACAGCGGACGGACAGTGAAAGCATAGCAATAGTGTTCCGTTGTAACCATTTGAGTAAAATATCACGTATTTTTTATCTTTATTTTATTAATTAACTAGCGGCCGCCTGCGACTTCCTTTTTGTTTTTTTTGAGAATCCCACAGGAACCTACCATATTTTCCGAGATAAAAAGTATCCTATCTCTCAATCCAGGTCATAAACTATATACCAAATTTCATTCAAATTCGTTCTCATATTATCTATACTATTAATAAAGAGTGAAAAGGATACACTGACAGACTGTCTGACTGACTCATCAACGCACAGCCGAAACGGCTGGACCTAGAATGATGAAATTTGGACAGTAGGTTCCTATTATTACCTAGACAAGTAATAAGACGGGATTTGTTGAATTTCAGCCTCTTAAGCGTGAAATTTGCAAAAAAAAGTTTATTCGTAAAATTTTATCTCTTGGACCTATTCACTGCAAATTTTTCATAAACATTATTTAATAGATGTATACTAAGCCTGTTACATAAAATTTTTACAACTACCCTCAAATAAATTGCATAATTTCGTATCAAAGTTTGTGTGGGAGATCATTCAAAAGTGCATAGGATTGATTAAAATTTTGCAAACCTACTCCGTATAAAATAAAAATGCTATCTGTGTTTTTATTTTTCAAAACTACCTTCATAAAAGAAAGCTTTAGCATGTTGATGTTTTAAATAGTGCGTCAACGCACGCCTTCATTTTTGGTCGTAGAAACATTATATTTAGTAAATAGGTTATTAGCGCAAAAAAGGATTTATGAATATTCCACCGTGAATTGGGAGATAATAGGGATTCAAAGTTTGAATGGGAAAACGAGTTTGGCCTATTGACTTAGAAAAAGCTGAAAAGCAGGGTGGCCGTGCACCTGACCAAGTAGATTTCAGATATCCGACCTGTTTTCAGCAGATTTGCTCTGATTTGTTATTAATTAAATACGCTTAAGCTTCATAACTTCACATGTGAACGACAACTGGGCATAATGTTGGAGCAGTCTATAGTTTACCGAATATATATCGATGTCTTCTTCTATACCTATACTTCTAAAACTATTCTAATTCGTATTGGTATATGCTTTAAGAATCGGTACTATCTATACTCTATACTATTACGAGTATATAAAGAGAAAAACGGATACACTGACTGACTCATCTTGACCTATTTTAATAATTAATTTACTAATAGAAAGTTTTATTGTAAAGGATTACAATAAAACAATTTTTTTCCAACAATTCTACGGGAATGAGACTACGGGTGTCAAATCCTGTTTCTTAAACCACTTAACTGATTTTCAAAACGAAATTTTCATTACATAAATACAATTTTTGTTCTGTTTACTCCACGGACACGGGTTCTCCAGGGGTAAAATTCTATTTTCCAACCACTTGACCGATTTCGAAACCATTTTTACCAGATCGTACCTACGCATAAACCTCTTATTTTTCCGGATGCTGATTCGTGTCTACTTAATACAATACTCCCTTGCGTAGCCAGGACAAGTTATTATTTCTTCTATAAACTTCTTCTGTTGTGTAAAGGACATATTGATTGATTGACTGGTTGACTAATAACGCAAAGGCAAAACCGCTGGACCTAGATAATAAAGATTTAAACAGTCCTTTATATTGTCCATAAATAATTTTAGACGCATAAAGATAAGATTTTATGAAATTCACAACAGACACCGGACATTACAAAAATCTAACGTTACAAGTATTTCCGTATATAATAATTGTACTTGCTTAAATCGATGATCTATATCTTTCATCACATATATTTTTACAGATATTCAAATTTAGAAACACGGATGGAGACATCCTATGTTCGATACCTAAACAATAATTAAAAAATAGTGGCTTCTAGACAGTAGGGTAGCATGTCTTGGCCCCCCGTTTAAAAATTTGTTTAGGGGCTCCTAGGAAGGGTAAAGATTTCTCACAAAAAAAAATGTTTGCACAAAATTAAAAAAGGATATTATTCTATATAAACTTCATTATCTATCTGTCACATTTTCCAAAAATTTGTCAAACAATTCAAATTAAATATACACTCTCCTTGCCTTTTTTTTTCGGCAAATTATTTATAGCTGATGATGACTAGTTTTTCTAAAGTTTCTGCCTCTACGGACAATAGTGATCCCGTGGTTTATCATCGTATCGCATGTACATCGGTTATTCCCCGTTCAAGTATTTGACTTAAACGGGGAAATCCCGCAGTCCGCGATAACCGCGATACGCGCGAAAAAAGAAATTACATTTTTTGACTTTTGTCAATTCTGAAAAAAAATTGGGACATTTTTATTAATTTTTGCTTACGCCTGTTGGGGGGTGCAAAGTTTTCGTTTTTTAAATATCAAAAGCGATAAAAGTATTTGTCTTGATAAAAAAAATATTTGTAAATACAAGGTGCATTTTGGAAATGGATAACAAATAATATTTTATTTTTGATTCACTATTTTAGCGATAATAGCTTACACATTTACAAATAGATACATGTTGTCGCGAACTTTTTTATTACATTTCCTCTATACATTATATTCATGTAACTTTTGTTGTTTTTGCAGTGCAGGCCAAAATGGTTCGCATATGGGAGTTTTTTGGCCGTGTTACGTGACACTTATTGTTATATTTTAGCCAATTCACTCAGTAACTACATAAATTATTATTATCTATATATAATTATCAATATAGCTCATGTATGAGCTATATAATGGTTAATCCATTCAGTATTATTTGGGTGAAAGATCAACAAATATCCATACAAACGTAAGATTGATAATAAAAGTGCAAGTGGTTAATATACAACTTTAAATCTTTGTAGATCCTAAACAGTCATATAAAATAAAAAAAGGGTGGAAAGAACCTAAACATGATTTTCCACTAACTAGACGATGATATATTTCGTCAACTTATTTTTTTCCTTTTCACAATATGGAGCCTAATTGTCCCTATATCGAATTTTGATTACTAACATAACTTTAATAGCACTGTCATGATTAAGACGAATCGATGTTTGAATCATCAAAATCGGTCTACGCGTTTGGTCTCTGGTGTGCCACAAAGGAACATACATACATATATAAACTGTCAAACACTGTCAGCGCGTCGCGCTTTGCGCTCTTGCATTGCGCAGTCGGGTGAAAAATAGTCGGGTGAAATTTTAAAAATCTAAAATCGAATGGCGTAGAATGAAAAGCGAGGTTACGTAAGCGAAGCGTGTGAAACTGAAATTTCATTAAATTTTGGTATTTTTATGCAATATTTTAGTTATTGAAGTCCTTCAAATATGTTTTTGTCGCTTTTGTAAAATTGTTTTTTTCGTTGTATAGTGAAAAGCTCTTCCATTGTTTCCATTTGTTTATTTGTTGTTAATTTTTCTATGTATTCTAGATAAATAGGTGTTTAAATTAATATACCGATTTAAACACCTATTATTTGAAAATTGTTTTGTATAGCGTATTTATATACACAAAAATCATGCATGAAAAAACTGATCTACTTTAAAAAAAAATAAAGTGCGCGACATATTATATGTTTTACAAGATTTCATAACTAATATTATTTACAAAGACTTCACCATAAAAATCATGTCATCCATCTACGTTCGACAAGTTGTTATATTCCAACATCAACGCGAACAAAGTCGCGCGCACAGCTACTTCTTTTATATTTTTAAAAATCTAGCAAAATACTTAAATGTATAATAAATAACTGCCTTAAAATATTATGCATTCAGAACAACGATTCAGAAAAATATAATTTGTACATTTAAACATCGGCATTTATAAAAGCATACTGTAGCGATAAGACCTATTTTGATGTGAAGAGGCTATCAAAGTTCCAATTTTAAATATATAAAACATTGATGTCATCGCGTCCACCAATATTATCTAGTAGGTAGTAAATACTTATCTTTTACATCCACAATCTTTACTCATCATAGATATTTTTAAGTAAATAATAATATAGTTCATCAAAACATACATTTTTAATCTCACTGATGACTCTCTAAACATTTTCATTATTTTGTAGTCTTCTACAATGACACAAAGTACTCACATAAGTCGGAGGTGGCGAGAACGACGCTTTTTATAATATATTAAGTTAGGAATTTCAAATTACGTATATTATTTAGGCTAGTAAATTAAGAATTTAGTTATGCTTTTGTTTTGATGACATTTGAACTTTCTTTAACATCAAGATATCGTTCTTTCGTGGCGGTTACGTACCTACTTTGTGGTTCCATTCTCTATTCACGTTGTGTAAAACTTTGCTCAGAAACTCGTACTGGCGTCTGTTGGATCAGTGCTGGAGTAAACCCCTACAGCTTTCTTAGATCTGACCAGACCATTACGGTTACTACCATGGACAAGAAACAGATCTGTTTTGTCAACAACTGCAATCCTAGCCTAATGGATAAAGTCGGTGCTCAACAACCGAGCAAAACTAACTTAGAATACATACTGCATAGAATACAGTTGCTAAAAATATATTCCATTTTGTTTAAAGTCCTGGAATTAGAGGATGAGATGTCTTTATGCATGCATGGTTTTGTCCAAAACTAAATGCTCACATTTATCTTGAAATAACCGCTATCATAGCATGCATACTTACTGTCTTTCCAATCGTCGCTTTAAATCGTAAATGATGCACCATATTTTTTGTGGAAAAAATATTGATATCCGGAACGGAATTACTCAATGACTTCTTTTTATAATATAAATTAACTCCTGTTACTTAAGCAATCTTATGTTACGCTAACCTTTGCTCCATTATCACGTTTTTTTATTGTGTGCGTATTCAAGTGGCAACTAGTTATCATTCCATAGCCTCGTGACCTAAAAAAAATATTTAAAACTAAGAGCTTTATTATGTTAGCGATGAATTGAAAGGATTCTTCAACATATCTAAAGATGAGGGCTGAGAATTTCTAATGTCACTAAATTCCAGACAAAATGCAAAATTCAGGATCTTTGCTTCTCGCTTTACTGCATTTTTATTTAAAATATTTTTTATCGTTGTAACTATGTCAACCGCAATAGAATAGGAACAATCTTGTGATGAAATAATGTATCGTTATTATGTAAGTAGGTACAAAAAGATCAAAGTGTACACAATTCTGAGTAAACTAATATAGCTCAAGGATATCTGTTTTTAAATGTAAGGCAAAAACGATACCTACGAAATTTTTAAATGCATGCATCCAAAACTCGAAGCAGATGTAAAGTCATAATTAAGCAGTTCTCTGTGGTTAAAAGAGCCTTCATAGAGAATTTGTAACGCAAGCAAAAGTGTATAAGAATATATAGCTCGTTTTTTCACTTGCAATGTTAATTAGAATATAGCCCAATCGGGAAGCCAAAATGTATTAGAGTATATGACTCGTTTTTTCACTTGACGGCGCCGGCGACGGCACGGCGTTGAAGAATGTTGTTGTCCATTTTCATATTTTAAGTAGGGTATAATTTATTTATTAATTTCTAAGATTTATTTATTAGGCTCTCACTACAATGAGTACTTACACTAAGAATAACTAAGTCTGCTGGTCAGCAGATCGTAAACCGGCACCATGGTACCGGCGCGCAGTGGAAAAACTAAACGCCGGAACGGCCAAAGGGATCTAGAGCCATCACGGTGCCGTGCCGGTACTATGCCGGTGAGTGGAAAACCGGCCATTGTGTTATAGAAAACGATTTAAGTGAATCGAGGAAAATATTGTTTTAAACTTTCAGTGTCATGTTTACAAATATGAGATTAATTGCTACCATGTAAGTCGAATTATCCACAACTGTCAATTGCTTGTATTATGAAAATTAGATAGTTTTTGGTAATCTGATTTTCTTTCAGTTATAAACTCGTTTTTTGCGAGTCTTTGGGTCGCACTGAGAGACGTAAATTAAATTTAACGTTGTTATCTTTCGATATCGCAACGAACTCAGCAACGATGCAACGAAAGTGATAGACATGTTCGTTGCGATATAGAAACTTGATGATGTCATCAACTTTTATCAAGTTCATAAGCTCAGTTTAATAGTTAATTAACGTGTCTGCTCTGATTGTTGCCATATGAGATATTTGCTGTTGCAAGTATAATCACGGAGTTACTTGAGTGATTGCGAGAAATATATTATAAGTAGATACCTACATTACATTACATCGATCGATCTATTCATACCATCCGAATTTATAATGAAATGGAGTAAGAGCGTTTGTCAACAAGACAGTTTTCCACCGGGTCTATAGACGGTTTTGAACCGTGTCTATGCAATAAAAGACATCGTCAAATAGACCGTAATGTCTGACAATGACAAGAAAACTTACCCGCAATAATTTCAGTTCATTATTGCACTTGCAACAGAGACAAAATATCGTTCGCTTAAAACAAGTGTAATAGTTATCCAATCCTGTTAATTATTCTCAAATCGTGAAGAATTATTTTCTTTGTGAAAAAAGTTACTATAGATATTTTTTTTATAACTAACAAGGCAAAACCGCTTAAATAAGACAAAATGTTTTAAACTTTGACGGTCACTAACAGGTAAGTTATTAGCGGGATTGTGACCATGTACCTTGTTTTTGTGAGTCTACTATATTTCGGCACTGTTCACTCCGTGATCCGCTTACAACAGTGCCGAAATATTGGAGGTACAAACAAAAACAAAAACAAGGTACATGGTAGCAATCCCGCTAACAACTATAATAATAAAAATTACCAATTTTTGGAGTTTACGGTAATCAGAAACAGCTAGCGATGCAAAAATCATTTCAGATCATAATAAAGTAATAAGTAGTATAAGTATTGAACATACAAACTTAAGTATTTTATGCTAATATTATTCTCTCAATGAAATTTATCAATGAATGATAATGTTAGTATCTACCTATTCGATACATAGTCGAATATAACAGTTTTTCATTGCGTTTGTACCTTATATAGGAATCCATTACGCATCAAGTGTGTCGCATGCTTCACGTACAACGTTTATTCAGCATCGCAATGTAACCTTTATATCAAAGAGACTGATTTAATTTTTGTAAAGGTCATGACCCCTCGATAATTCGGTAAGTAAATAACGCCCAACGTTCTCAATTACATAGAAACAAGGAAACGATAAGTGAAGTTTAGTAAGGCCACACAGTACTTTATTGTGTACGTTTCAAATGCTTCTTGTTATTTAAATGAGAACATATTTTTTTTATATTTCAGTAAAGTTCTATTTAATACGAATATAGGATTAATACAAAAGATGACGCAATTAATAATTTTTATAACTTATATTCTGATATGTATTACGGTTGAGATACCTAAATATAGTAGCAAAGTCCACGTTCCGCGGTTTCCGGAAATGGAACTAGGCATTTATATGTGGAAGTAAGAATTTGGAACATCATATGCATTAAACTAGTAAACTAGGTCAAAATCAGCTCCCATTGACAAAGCTCCCGAAACGAGGTCGCGACACAAACACCAGCTTCCCTTATCAGCGTGACAGGAAACTGCTATCAACTTGTCGTTTATATGTACTAACATAATTTTTGCAATTATTGCCGAAATAACTCCCACGTCTTTTTATCGCCGCGATATAAGTAAGTACTGATTAATTTGCTGCCTCTTCATATTTTGCTCTACACTTAGCTTTGTTTACTTATTTTATTTATATTTTTATCACTTTTAGAGTTTAAGACCGTATTGATGTCACAAAACATATGGCTGATGTGTTAATGACCATTTATTACTTTGTTTTTGGTCGCTATTTTATTATAAAAAGACATCTACGAAAAACTTATATGGCTGCACCATAGATATGGGATATATTCCTTGGGCTGCACTCAAATAGGATTGTTAAAGTGACGTGTGTCTTATTCTATTAATATCGCAAAGTCAAGGCAGATTAACTTCAATCACATAAGTCATACAACATAAATAACAACAAAAAGTTAAATAATATTTTTTATTATCCGTTCCTTAAATCGAAAGTACAATTAAAGTAAAATTTACAATATTTGGAGTCGGTGCCATACCAATAAACATAAAAAAAATAGGTAGATCCGAGCTTCACTACTTGGGTTGACAGAGCAACAGAAGCTAAGTTACTTTATTTATTTATCTCTCCTCTCCGTTTACAAATACATTTTGAAAACTTATCGTATAATTAAATTATGGTAATTAACTTATGGTTCTTGGCCAGCTTCTTAGTAGGTCGGTTTGTATTTATCTTAATTATAGAAACCTAATGTAAACGAC